CGGAAAACGGAGCTCGCGGCGCGGAGAACGCCGGAGTAACGGCTGCTAAACCACCCCCTCGACGGCGAGGGCGGAGGAGAGCGGAGGGAGAACGAGAAACAGAGAGAACAATCTCGATATCGCGGCCAGCGACTATGCCCGCAGAAACGTTTCACATCCAATTTGTTCCTCTCGTTTCGCGGTAATCGCTCGCCAATGACTTTCCTACCCTCGTTCCCATCCCCTCGCTCTCTCCTCCTCCCGTTCCCCCGGCCGCGGAGCTCGTTTCGTTGCTCTCGCCAGGCCGTACGTTTTTCGAAGCGTGCACCGAAATCTTGCCATCCGCGGGAAGCGTCGGTGGTAGCGCATCCCCCTCGTTGCACTTCAGTCGCACCGTCTTTCCCCCGAGGATATCCGCGACAACCGGGGACACAACCCCCTTTCGCGCAGGCCTGTTTCCTTCGACCAATGGAGGCCGACGGTCCCCACTCTGCGCGCCTTCGTTGGCGAGTTAACGCGACCAATGAGCGTCGCGTCGCGGCGACGAGGTGGGGGCAGCGCGGCGTTTCCACCCCCAAAATGGCTGCGAATTCGCGCGGGCATTAGGCAGCCCGTTCAAAATAAACGGGCGGATTAATTGGAGCGGGGCGACGCGGGGCCAGGCCGGTTGCAACCCCTGGCCTTAACTCGCTCGTGGCAACGCTTCCACCTCCACCCCGTCGGCTTCGGCAACGTGCGCTCGTCACCGAGGAGGACGACGATGGAGGGGCGTGGGAGGACGAAGACGACAACGACGACGACGACGACGGGCGACGGCGATAACGATACCCGAAGTCGAACAAGCATATCCGGTCATCCTACGCGATCCTCGGCGACGCAGAACGACGCCGCGCGTCCGCACGTTAGCATGAAACTCGCGCCCGTCGCCGAAGTGTTCCCGCGCCGACCGACCCCGTTCGCAGGCACAGTTCGCACGATCATTCCACACTAGGCGATTTCGTCGGTTCGTTCGTTCCGATTGTTCGTTGAACCGTTCTTCGTCGACCGAGGAGTACCATGATGCAGGAGCACAAGTCGTTTCTTATACGGGATCTCTTAGGCGACGTGCTGACCGAAAGGGTACACGGTAAGTCGGTGCCATTTATTTCTATCGGACTCGACACGGCCGTTTCGGACGCCGCGAAATTCGTTCGCGATTCCTTCGATCGCGACACCGTTCGATCGAAGTCGTTCGTTCACGCGCGGCGGCGATCCCGAACGCGCGCTAATGAATCCGACGCGTCGAGCCGAACACGAGTAGACGGAGAAATGGAAATTTTTATTGGACGAGGAAGCTGTCGCGTGGCCGGCAACTGGGATCCTCGTTACGGGGAACCCCGCGGCGCGCTTCTATTATCTTTAGCCACGATTCGTAACCCCCGGGGCACCTAGCCGGCGCTGACGGGGCGCTGCCCCATTAACGGCGATCCTACAGATGGCCCGAGCTGCGGAAGGATTCGTTAGCTCTCGTTAGCGTGAGTTTTCGTCGCGCGGCGATCGTATCTCGCTGCGCCCGGTAGCGTGCATCGACCGACCGTTCCCTTCGGGACAAACGTTCCCGTAATTGAGATCGTTTACCATAAACCAGAGGCGATTGTGATCACGATACACGCGTCTGTATTGTCGAGATAATCGACTTTGACGGGAGAATCGGACCGGGGTCCGTCCCCTCTGCGAATCTCCGCTGGAAATTGGTTTTCATTCGGCCGCGCTGGGCCAGAATGGTCGCCTCAGAAAACAGCGAGCGCGCGAGGAGGATTGTTTCTAACGAAATCATGAATTTCAGGGGACTCCGAGGATGATTCCGCGGTTCACTCGGACTCCGAGGACACGATAGACCCTGGCAGCAGTCCCTGCACTCGCCTGGAGAGCCCTCCGCCGGCCTTGTCGCCTTCACCGACGGCAGCCACTTCCGGTAAGAACTGCGGAACCACCAGTGGTCCTCCCAGCGGGAGGAAGCCGAGAAGAAGACGAACAGCGTTCACCCACGCTCAACTGGCTTACCTGGAGCGGAAGTTCCGGTGTCAAAAGTACTTGAGCGTGGCGGACCGCAGCGACGTGGCCGACGCTCTGTCGCTCTCGGAAACGCAAGTCAAGACGTGGTACCAGAACAGAAGGTCAATCTCCGGTTTTGCAATTAGACATCACTGTAACTCGTAGTAGTTCATCGTAATCGGACGTTGATTGTAATTCACATTAGCTACATTCGAAACCTCCCGCTATTCGGGCTACGCGAGTCACAAATTACCGAGCATGACACGGTCACGATCGGAGTATCTGCCCGACGATCGATGTAGACGAAATATTCGATTGCAGGACCAAGTGGAAGCGACAGAATCAACTGCGGCTGGAGCAGCTTCGGCACCAAGCGACGGTAGAGAAGGAGCTGCTGGTTCGGGGCGTGGGCCTCCACCACGGCAGCATAGACGCCTACTGTCCACCTTACAATGCCCAGACCCAAACTCAAAGTCATCCGCCTCCACCGCCGCCTCCCCCGGCACCCTCCAGCGCGTCGACGGCCGCGTTCCTGTCAACCGCGGCGGCTCTCTTCCGGAACGTGACCTACGTCCACGGATGTCCCCTTTAACCCGCGCGATCGCCACGGTTTCAGGATCGTCTCCGTTCCGACGTCGCCGACCCCCTTCACCCGGAGGAGACCGGCACCATCCCGAACGAAGTGGGCCCACCGTCGACGACCGCCACGTCGCGCGCCGCCCGATGGCTTCTGTGGACTCGAAATGTCGCGAACCGATACAGTTTGCCGCGGTTCCTGGAACTTTGCGCCGAGCTCGCCGCGTCGGCGAGAACAGCTTCGCGGAAGCTCGACGCGTTCCGGTGCAGAGGGGCCGGAAGCCTGCTGGTCCTGCGATGGTGAAGTGCGCGGACAGAGGAACGACGTGGAAACGATCGTCGCCGTTGAGATCGTAAACAAGGGACGCGTCGTCAGGCATGGACAGTCCCATGAGTGACGAATCCATCCCCGGAGTTGTTTCACGTGTTTATTTGCTGCATGCGAGACAGTGTACATATGTAATTAAAAAGTTCGCTGGGTAGACGTAGTTCAGTTTGTTTCCGCTTTCCGACGAGGACGGACGGGAAATCTGTGCACCGTCGGCGACAGAGCGTCCTTCTCGGTCGGAACGGAAGGTTAATCGCGCGCAGTCTAGCTGAGCCGGTAGAGGGAATGAGAGAGAAAGCGAGAGAGCGGGAGAGAATGCGAGAGAAAGTGAGAAGGAAGAAGGTTCGTAGCTGTACAATAGAATCTTAGGTAATCATAATCAGACGGGAAACTGCGGCGACGAGCATGGCCGCCGTTTCACGGCCGGTTTTCGTTTAGAGGATTTAGTCGGTCACCGCTGACGATCGATCACCTTCTCCAGCTAGTCGACGATCTTTTTGCGTCAACCGAAAACAATTCTTGTAGATAAATAAATTATTATCGAGCAGAGACTCGGTGTTTTTGATTGCCATCTTTTCTCTACGTTCGTTCGAACGATTTCTCCGATTCGGAGAGCTCGACCTGCCCGACGAGGATATATCCTCGCCGAACGGCCGGCTCTCCGAGACCGATCCCCCGGCGAACCAATCGATTAAAAGCGATGACCGTTGAAAACGATCAGCCTAAAAACACAGCGGAGGGAACAGAAAACCGCGGGGGATGTTTCTCGTTTGACCGGGCGGCGATAGTAACGAGTGCCGGGCCGGGGGCACGAATCCACGCGTGACAATAGGCACGTGGCCAGGAACAGCGATCCGCGAGCCCCGGTGGAAAGTAATTGGCTGAAACCGATACAAGTCGAGTGCCGGTGCCACTCGTGGCTGGAATTGGCTGGCGGATTTAATTGAACGGAATCGACGGGAGAGAGGAAACACGGTAATAGGCGGAGAGAGAGGAGAGGAGAGAGCGCCGATATCCGCGGAGAAACGGTTCCGATTGTCGCGGATGATTTTTTCGCGGCGGGCGGACTGCCGTTAATTGGACGAGGAGAGGAGAGAGA